AATGCAGTTAAAGTTAAGTAAAGTTACAGAGGCAGGCACAATGCAGTTAAAGTTAAGTAAAGTTACAGAGGCAGGCACAATGCAGTTAAAGTTAAGTTAGGTTACAGAGGCAGGCACAATGCAGTTAAGGTAACTTAGGTTACAGAGGCAGGCACAATGCAGTTAAGGTAACTTAGGTTACAGAGGCAGGCACAATGCAGTTAAGGTAACTTAAGTTACAGAGGCAGGCACAATGCAGTTAAGTTTTACAGAGGCAGGCACAATGCAGTTAGTTTTACAGAGGCAGGCACAATGCAGTTAGTTTTACAGAGGCAGGCACGGTACAAGGCAGTCGCAGGCGATGTCTGCCGGGTGAACGCGGCGATAGCTGTGGATGCGAAGGCCGGTTCCTCAGACAAAAAAATCCACGATGACGTCGAGAGGCTGAGATGGCCGATGACGTGAAATGTGAGAGAACGAGAAGATGGATTGGAAATGCCCTGCCCGGCAAAAGCTCTGGGGAGCTTGCAAAGAAACCCTCTCCCTTGGCTTCAGAGGGGCCTATCCCACTACAGCCCTGTCCTCTAACTTAACTTCAAAATGCCAACTCACCTGCTCATCTCTGCTCCTGGCCAGGCTCGGGGCAACACCGACTCCTGCAAAGACAGAAAAGAAAAAAGCACTGAGTTACTGTCACAATGCACAAGGTGGAATTCCCAATGTGGTTCCTTTATTCCATCTTGGACTACAAAAGCTTGTCAGCCAACCAGGGACTGAAACAGAAGAAAAACCTCTCAGTCCCACTTCTCATACTCAAAGATCCCCTGTAAAGTTCTGATGACAGAGCCCTCAAATGAGTGTGGGGTGCTTTGCCTGGAGGCATGTGCTGTTTTCAAAAAATTCGAGTCACCTCCCTTGCTTTCTAGACACTGCTCACCGGCGTGGCAGGCTAGGGGCGGCTGAGGCGAAACGTCTTTCCCCTGATAATGACTGCACGATAAACCTGCAACCCCTTCTGTCTCTCAGAATCCTGTCCGTGACACCGATTCGTGTCAGGATCCACAAGGTGGGATTTGTGATGTGGTTCTTTCCTTCTATCTTAGAGAACTAAAGATTAGCAGCAAACCAGGGACTTTAAACAGAAAAACCTCTCAGTCCCACTTCTCATACTCAAAGATCCCCTGTAAAGTTCTGAAGACAGAGCTCTCAAACGAGTGTGGGGTGCTTTGCCCGGAGGCATGTGCTGTTTTCAAAAAATTCGAGTCACCTCCCTTGCTTTCTAGACACTGCTCACCAACGTGGCAGGCTAGGGGCGGCTGAGGCGAAACGTCTTTCCCCTGATAATGACTGCACGATAAACCTGCAACCCCTTCTGTCTCTCAGAATCCTGTCCGTGACACCGATTCGTGTCAGGATCCACAAGGTGGGATTTGTGATGTGGTTCTTTCCTTCTATCTTAGAGAACAAAGATTAGCAGCAAACCAGGGACTTTAAACAGAAAAACCTCTCAGTCCCACTTCTCATACTCAAAGATCCCCTGTAAAGTTCTGATGACAGAGCCCTCAAGCGAGTGTGGGGTGCTTTGCCCTGAGGCATGTGCTGTTTTTAAAAAATTCGAGTCACCTCCCTTGCTTTCTAGACACTGCTCACCGGCGTGGCAGGCTAGGGGCGGCTGAGGTGAAACGTCTTTCCCCTGATAATGACTGCACGATAAACCTGCAACCCCTTCCGTCTCTCAGAATCCTGTCCGTGACACCAATGTGTGTCAGGATCCACAAGGTGGGATTTGTGATGTGGTTCTTTCATTCTATCTTAGAGAACTAAAGTTTAGCAGCAAACCAGGGAATTAAACACCAAAACACACACAGAGCTTGCACCCACCTGTCCTCCAGCATCCTGGGCTGGGATATCTTGCAAGTAGACCACCTAAAATAAAAAAAACCCAAGGGATTAAAGTTATAGCAGAAACTGCGACCCCAGCAAGAACAACTGCTTCTCTCCACCAACCGAGGCTCACCTTCCACCTGCTTTGCCTTCTCCGCTACTTTCCAGCTTTACTTCCTAGAAATAAATACAAAGAGCAGAGCTGTAACAAAGTGACCGCTTCCAGCCCCGCTGCAAAGTAAAACCGTGACAGACCTTCTCAGGGGAACCCCCTCATCTGGGACAGGTGTTCTGCCAGGAGGTCAATCCATCTGCATCTGAAAGAAAGTTAGGAAAAAAGTCAAAGTGCTGCAGGGTAACTGCACAGCTCCAACCACCTGCTGCCAACATAAGAATACCACCTAGACTCCAACTACAGCCTGTACTACAAGTCTCTGATTACAAGTGCCCAGGACTTATCCTTAAACACCTACAACCGGGCTGGGCGCCAGGGCAGAGCAGCTCCGGACCAAATACCCCCAGACACCCGTGACACGTGAGACGAGGGGACGTGACAAGGAGAGAAAACTCTCTGAGACAAGAAAGTCCTCACGAGGACCGAGAGAATGCTGAACGAGATGACTAAAGAGGGACCCAAGGCGAGCCTGCCGGGATCCGATGACCCCGGAGGGAAAAGACGCTAACGGAACAACTATTTTCCAAGAACCGCAGAGACGGATGCCCGAGAATCCTGTGGCTGGAAGCCTCTGCCTGCCTTTGAATCGGCACAAGTCCTTATCCACTGTAAGGAAACACTGCTGCATATAGCTGTCGACACAGCTGAGAACGAGACCTAAGAAAACATCCGATCACGTGCTTCTAAAGACAGATGCGATTCTGATGCCTGTCCGACCTCCCGAATCAAAGCTTTGCCAGCGCCGGGCCGAAGAACGCAAAGATGGGAGATGAACGGAATGACCCCGGGGTTTCTCATAAGCCCCTGGGAGGACTAAGGCAATAGAGATGTTACACAAGATGCACATAAGACACAGAAGGCACGAGAGACAAGTGACAACACACCCTGGGACTGCTCTGCCCTGCCTGCCTCAGCATTGCAAACCAAAGTGAGGCTTTCCCTCACTGGGGCCTATGGGGTCATTTCCAGAACCTCCCCATCCCCAAAGCTCACTCAAAAACCCAAACCGATCTGAGTCCTGACCCACCGCCCTGCTTTGATCCCCTCTGTGGGCTCCACTTATCTCTCAGAGGGCTGAAGATGTGAGTCACGGCGAGAGGCCGGTCGGGAGCCAAACAAAGCCACCTCGCTGTCTGGGAAGTTCTTCTCTCACCGGGCTGTTGTCTCAGACAAGTATCATCACCTATGATAAAGAAAACCAAATATAAGAACACAATCTTAGTGGCATATTCACCAAAACCCAACTCCTACTCACCATCTCTTAGGAACTCCCAGGTCCTCCGGCCACACGCTTCGGCCACGCTCCGAGGCGGATGCCGTCGTCGCAGGGTACGCCTAGGATAAACGGAGAGCAGGCGATGTAGCGTCGCTGAAAGTTGAGCGCGCCCTCGCCGCTCCTTCCAAAGCCCCCGACTTGCCGCGACTCCTCGGCCACGCCTAAAGGGTACCAGGACCGCACCGACACGTGGACGAGGTCGAGGCTTTGTCACGGACTCCGGTAATATTTGCTGAGGCTCACCAGAGAAGCAAACCGGGTCTCTTGGCAGGTCAGTGAGGGGGCCACAGCACAGCATCAGGAGGCAGCCTAAAACACACCAACAAGCAGGGATGCTTGGAGTTGCACCAGAAACTGCGACCCCAGCAAGAACAACGGCTGCTCTCCACCAACCGAGGCTCACCTTCCACCTGCTTCGCCTTCCCCGCTGCTACCCGGCTTTACTTCCTAGAAATAAATACAAACAGAAGAGCTGTAACACAGTGACCGGTTCCAGCCCCGCTGCAAAGTAAAACCGTGACCGACCTTCTCAGGGGGACCCCCTCATCTGGGACAGGTGTTCTGCCAGGAGGTCAATCCATCTGAATCTGAAAGAAAGTTAGGAAAAAAGTCAAAGTGCTGCAGGGTAACTTCACAGCTCCAGACACCTGCTGCCAACATAAGAATACCACCTAGACTCCAACTACAGCCCGTACTACAAGTCTCTGATTACAAGTGCCCGGGACTTATCCTTAAACACCTACAACCGGGCTGGGCGGCAGGACAGAGCAGCTCCGGACCAAATACCCCCAGACACCCGTGACACGTGAGACGAGCGGACGTGACAGGGAGATAAAACTCTCTGAGACAAGAAAGTCCTCACAAGGACCGAGAGAATGCTGAACGAGATGACTAAAGAGGGACCCAAGGAGAGCCTGCTGGGCTCCAATGACCCTGGAGGAAAAAGATGCTAAAGGAACAAGTATTTTCCAAGAACCGCAAAGACGGATGCCTGAGAATCCTGTGGCTAGAAGCCTCTGCCTGCCTTTGAATCGGCACAAGTCCTTATCCGCTGTAAAGAAACACTGCTGCATATAGCTGTCGACACAGCTGAGAACGAGACCTAAAAAGACATCCAATCACGTGCTTCTGAAGACAGATGCGATTCTGACGCGTGTCCGAGCTCCCGAATCGAAGCTTCGCCGGCGTCGGGCCGAGGAACGCAAAGATGGGAGATGAACGGAAAGACCCCGGGGTTTCTCATAAGCCCCTGGGAGGACTAAGGCAATAGAGATGTTACACAAGATGCACATAAGACACAGAAGGCACGAGAGACAAGTGACAACACACCCTGGGACTGCTCTGCCCTGCCTGCCTCAGCATTGCAAACCAAAGTGAGGCTTTCCCTCACTGGGGCCTATGGGGTCATTTCCAGAACCTCCCCATCCCCAAAGCTCACTCAAAAACCCAAACCGATCTCAGTCCCGACCGCCGCCCTGCTTTGATCCCCTCTGTGGGCTCCACTTATCTCTCAGAGGGCTGAAGATGTGAGTCACGGCGAGAGGCCGGTCGGGAGCCAAACAAAGCCACCTCGCTGTCTGGGAAGTTCTTCTCTCACCGGGCTGTTGTCTCAGACAAGTATCATCACCTATGATAAAGAAAACCAAATATAAGTGCACAATCTTAGAGGCATATTCACCTAAGCGACTCCTACTCACCGTCTCTTAGGAACTCCCGGGTCCTCGGGCCTCACGCTTCGGCCATGCTCCTAGGCGGATGCCGTCGTCGCAGGGTTCGCCTAGGATAAACGGAGAGGAGGCGATGTAGCGTCGCTGAAAGTTGAGCGCGCCCTCGCCGCTCCTTGCGACTTGCCGCGACTCCTCGGCCACGCCTAAAGGGTACCAGGACCGCACCGACACGTGGACGAGGTCGAGGCTTTGTCACGGACTCCGGTAATATTTGCTGAGGCTCACCAGAGAAGCAAACCGGGTCTCTTGGCAGGTCAGTGAGGGGGCCTCAGCACAGCATCAGGAGGCAGCCTAAAACACACCAACAAGCAGGGATGCTTGGAGTTGCACCAGAAACTGCGACCCCAGCAAGAACAACGGCTGCTCTCCACCAACCGAGGCTCACCTTCCACCTGCTTCGCCTTCCCCGCTGCTTTCCAGCTTTACTTCCTAGAAATAAATACAAAGAGCAGAGCTGTAACACAGTGACCGGTTCCAGCCCCGCTGCAAAGTAAAACCGTGACCAACCTTCTCAGGGGGACCCCCTCATCTGGGACAGTGTTCTGCCATGAGGTCAATCTGTCTGAATCTGAAAGAAAGTTAGGAAAAAAGTCAAAGTGCTGCAGGGTAACTTCACAGCTCCAGACACCTGCTGCCAACATAAGAATACCAGCTAGACTCCAACTACAGCCCGTATTACAAATCTCCAATTACAAGTGCCCGGGACTTGTCCTTAAACACCTACAACTGGGCTGGGCGCCAGGGCAGAGCAGCTCCGGACCAAATACCCCCAGGCACCCGTGAGACGAGGGGATGTGACAGGGAGACAAAGTCCTGACGAGGACCGAGAGAATGCTGAACGAGATGACTGAGGAGGGACCCGAGGTGAGCCTGCCAGGCTCGGGTGACCCCGGAGGAAAAAGATGCTAACGGAAAAACTTTTTCCAAGAACCGCAGAGACGGATGCCTGAGAATCCTGTGGCTGGAAGCCTCTGCCTGCCTTTGAATCGGCACAAGTCCTTATCCACTGTAAAGAAACATTGCTGTATATAGCTGTTGACACAGCTGAGAACGAGACCTAAAAAGATCACGTGCTTCTGAAGACGGATGCGATTCTGACACGTGTCTGACCTCCCGAATCGAAGCTTCGCCGGCGCCGGGCCGAGGAACGCAAAGATGGGAGATGAACGGAAGGACCCCGGGGTTTCTCATATACCCCTGGGAGGACTAAGGCAAGAGACACATTACATGAGATGCACATAAGACACAGAAGGCACGAGAGACAAGTGACAACACACCCTGGGACTGCTCTGCCCTGCCTGCCTCAGCATTGTTAGCCAAAGTGAGGCTTTCCCTCATTGGGGCCTATGGGGTCATTTCCAGAACCTCCCCATCCCCAAAGCTCACTCAAAAACCCAAACCGATCTCAGTCCCGACCGCCGCCCTGCTTTGATCCCCTCTGTGGGCTCCACTTATCTCTCAGAGGGCTGAAGATGTGAGTCACGGCGAGAGGCCGGTCGAGAGCCAAACAAAGCCACCTCGCTGTCTGGGAAGTTCTTCTCTCACCGGGCTGTTGTCTCAGACAAGTATCATCACCTATGATAAAGAAAACCAAATATAAGTGCACAATCTTAGAGGCATATTCACCAAAACCCAACTCCTACTCACCAGCTCTTAGGAACTCCCGGGTCCTCCGGCCACACGCTTCAGCCACGCTCTGAGGCGGATGCCGTCGTCACAGGGTACGCCTAGGATAAACGGAGAGCAGGCGATGTAGCGTCGCTGAAAGTTGAGCGCGCCCTCGCCGCTCCTTCCAAAGCCCCCGACTTGCCGCGACTCCTCGGCCACGCCTAAAGGGTACCGCACCGACACGTGGACGAGGTCGAGGCTTCGTCACGGACTCCGGTAATATTTGCTGGGGCTCACCAGAGAAGCAAAC